GTGTGTCAGAGGAGAGCTGTGCTCCGTGGGGTTTTCAGTGGCTGTGTTTTCAGAAGTAGACTGTTACTGGGTGGACTTGAACTTCCAGCCTTTCTGTTAGCAGCTGAGTGTTCTCCATTTACACCAACCAGGACTCCCCTTTCCTCTATTAAAAAATAAGTTTCTGTCGAGTAGATTCTGACTCAAGCTCCTGGGTATTGTAAATATTAAGCATTTGACTACTAGCCAAAAGATCAGTGGTTCAAACCTATCCAGAGGTACCTCAGAAGAAAAGCCTGGCTATCTGCTGAAAGGTCACAGCCTTGAAAACCCTATGGAGCAGTTTTACTCTGCAATCCATAGGGTCACTATAAGCCTTTCCTCTATAAGGCAACTCAAATAGTTTATTTCAAAATGTCCTTCCTCTGTCATGGATTCCAAAAATATCTACAGACTCTAAAGTTAAAATAGTCATGAATACCAAATGAACTTTCAGAAAATAGGAGCAGTTACCTTAAAACAGGATCTACCAACATGTTTTCCAAATGTTCCTCTACAGTTTGCATTTTGCACAACTTTGCTAAGCAAAGTTTAAAAGTTATAGTACAAGAATCTCCAAACACAGTAACTAGTTGGATAAAGCTTTTTGTAAACAAGAAGATACTGCAAGGTTAGGACAAATCAATGCAAAAAAGTATTCGATTTCCCAGAAATCATGACTCTCAGTGCCCACCAGCTCCACACTCATTTTCAGACAGCTGGACTGTGTTTTCAAACACGGTAACGTTTCCCCGCATGCTGACTTTGATGCCGTCTCAAAGTGAGCAGACCCTTACTGGAGAAAAGGTTCAGACCTGGGCACCGTATTTTGTCAGCATGAGGACTTTTCTGGGGTGCAAAGTGGTCTTTGTGGCAAACATTCTGGCACAGAGGCAAACCCCCAGACTTGGATTCATGTTTCTAGAAAACAAAGAAGTTTGTAGGTTCAGAGTAAACTCTGGGAAAAGGTTTACAAATAAAGAATTACTTTCACTGTCATAATTTAGCATCTCTCCCTGTTGGCCACTCTTACTGGACGGCCAAATGTTCATCCGCATTTTAATCCCTTGCCGTAGAGTCGATTCCGACTCATAGCGACCCTATAGGACAGAGTAGAACTGCCCATAGGGTTTCCAGGCTGCCACATCTTTCTCCTGTGGAGCGGCTGGTGGACTCGAACCTCTGACCTTTCGGTTAGCAACCAAGCACTTAACCACTGCACCAGCAAGACTCTTTATCCACCATTTAGGGATGGAAAATAAACTGAGATACAGCAGAGAGAAGGGAGGGGGAACCTTCGTCGTCTTGGTGGGTGGCTATCAGGAGTCTACTTCTCATCCCTACTCAGAACACAGAATTAGTTCAACGGGGCTCTCTACAAAACAAGGGGAAACAGACAGCAGTGGAAAGATTGCTGGTCTTGGACTTAGACGCTCACTCACTCCTTGTTGTCTAGTCGATTCTGAGTCACAGCGGCCCTTACACAGATAGGGTTAAAATCCCAGCTCTGCTCACTACTGGGTGACCTTGAGCAATTTACCTCCCTCTCTGAGTATCACTTTCTTCACTGAAAAACAGAACTAATTAAACCTACTTCCTATACATGTGAATTCAAAAAATGAGCTAAGGTTTACGTAGTGAAGGGACTATTGCATTATCTGGCTATCAGCGGAATTTCTGTTAAAGAGGGAAGAGTCTTTGTCTAGGCAAATAATCTCAGGAGCTGCTTGATGTGGAAAATGAGACGCTAAGGGCAGAGACGTCAGCAGGAACCCAAGGGTGAGGGGAAAAAGGGGGTGTGACAATAAGAATTTGATTTTTTTTTCTCCTGAGAGTGACCGGAAAGATTACGATACTTTAATTAAAACCTCTCTTCCATCTCTTCCCTCAGCCACAGCCTCAAACCCCACCACCACTACCACCAAAAAATACTTCCAGTAAAGTCTGCTGGCTATCTTGGGTGAGGGCACAAGGGCATTGATGAAGGAGTTGGATGAGGGTGAGGAATCCCGTGCAGACTCAAGAGCCTGGAACACAGTTAACCCTACACACAAATGGTGCTCACGACAGTGTTGTATAGCTTTCAAGGGCAAGGAGGCCCCAGGTGACTCTGAGTTAGTGTGAAAAGAACAGGACAGCAAAACTCAGCCTTCATGGTGGCAGGATCACAACACAGTTTTAAAGCTGAAGCAGAACGTTGATGGGCTGATGGGAACACACATTCTGGGACACCAAGCAACCTTCTCTCTCCGAGTCTTCTCAGGACTTTGTTTACTGGAGTGTTTGTCCAGTTCTTGAGCCTCTCCCTGCATAAGCAGACCTTGCAGGGCTCCATGTAGATTAAAGGTGCAGAGCATAGTGCTATGAATAAAAAGTAAGTAAATAAATGAGACAAGTTAGCCAGGACAAATGGCAATGGATGGCCATGGTGGACTGCATGGTGGATGGGGCAGAGCTGTATTCCATCTCCACTATGGATGGAACCATCCTAAACAGGAACTACCAGTTGCCATTGAGTCGATTCTGACTTCTGGTGACCCCACGTGTGTCAAAGGAGTACTGTGCTCAACAGGGTTTTCAACGGTGGATTTTTCAGAAGCAGATCACCAGGCTTTCTTCCCAGGTGCTTCTATGTGGACTCAAACCAAACCACCAACCTTTTGGTTAGCAGCCAAGTATGTTTACCA